CATTTCACATGGCAATCTAACCAAAAGTCCAGGTCCTCTCACTTGGACAAAGCTCTATAAATTGCGTAAATCACGTCGTCACAAGCACCGTCTGCTTGGACCCACTCTAATTGCAGAATAACGGTGAATGATTCCTCGTGTGTCTGACATGTTGACACTGCTTAGGCGCTTAGACATTTAGGCAAATGCCAGATCCATCCGGAGCTGTCGTCTAGAAAGGGGCTTGCCCCGGACAATCGTGATGCCATTCTGTCAGTGCTCGCGGACGCGCCCTGAGGGATCGACTTTAGGGGCCACCATCCCCCTAAAGTCTTCCTTAAAGTCTTAGGAGAGTTCCCAGAGAGCAAGAGACTAGTGGTCCGTACTCCGTAGATCATGAATAAATGCAGCGTACGTGCTCAATATAGCTTCTGAGTGTCTTCTCGATCAGCTCTGAGTTCGGGAACTCAGGTCTATCACACTTCCCGAGGCATGAGATGACGTTAACGACTAGGGAGGATCTCCGTACCGCATCTGACCGTCACTATACATGAATTATATCCTTCACCGACGACCGGAGTAGGGGGTTACAGAAAGCAAACATCTTATGCAGTTGCTGCTCATCACCCTGTTTACCCCTTCTTTACCCAAATGATCTTGATAGTCCCGTTTTAGGTTTATGACTCCAACAAGTTGCTTGGAACTATTCTGCGAAAGATCGTCCAGTAACCAGAGTGTCGGGTCTTGCCAACATGGAATCCCCCGTCAACTTGCATGGGCTATGTGTATCCTAGTCGATTTCCAGCACTTGGGGAGGTAAGGTAGGGGTCTAATAATCATGGAGTCATCAGGCGCACAAAGAAAAATGATCGTACGGAACCCTCCAATCGCTTTTCATAATCGGGACGATCAGGTTGTGGCCACCCTGGCATCGATTCGTCTCATGATGCTGTCACCAGAGATGAAGACCGTGACTCGCCAGCGAGCCATTTCAATTCCCATCCCCTCCCCATATTGCCAATCCGATCCCATGATCTTGCATCCTTCCCTCGCAGGCCTATTCATCCTTTGTCCCTGTGTCGAAGAATTTCCGAGCAGTCATAATCGGTCCAGAGCTATAGAAAGCTCTCAAGAGCGAGTAAGCCCGCAACTCAGAGGATTCTGTATCCTTATCACCGATCAAACCCCAGGCTTCTCTCCGGCGATTGGGTACAGCAACTAGAGTGCTGTATGCACATCCGGTGGACTCGAGGCGCGATTGGCCTGTGGTAAATGTCCGACTTTCCCCAAAGGGCCTGAGTATCTCCAGCCTGTGCGACCGCGAGGACGCTGTGTTGCTGTGCTGCCACTGACGCGACCACCATTCGTTGTAGAGGCCACCGTCTACAGTTACCTTCTGCGACACCGCAAGCTTTCTTTCACCGGCCGCGCTCTCTTCACTGTTGCGGGTTTTGCGAATGCTACCAGACGCAAAAAGGGTGTAGGGGAGGGGTTCCACCATAGGCAGTCCTTGTTGACTCGCCATACAGCATAAGCTATGCACATCGGCAAAGCGGCATCAATCCTGTTGGAAGCCGGTTTTTGCTCTCGATTTCCCCTAATAGAGAATGTCCTAAGCATTTGTCCGTACAGATCCCCAACTACTGCAGCTCATTCACACCCGATGCAATTTTGCGCAGATCTTCGTCTCAATTGAAGACAACAAAAGGAGGAAGCCTTCTCATGGCGACTCGGGTGCGGTAGGTAGCGCTCATACCGGTCTAAATCATGACGTACCAAAATAGCTGGCTGATCCTAATAAGCAATGCTGCGTACGGGGTCGATAGTCCAGATACTAGACCAAATTTCTCCGTCCAAGACAGCTGAAATCCCCTAGCCTAACTATCTAGCGGGGGGGATGGTGACTCCTACTGTGTTTAAGAGACAGTAGTCGGCCCCATCCAACCCACAATTGGATATAGAACCCCCCTCCCTAGTCCGATACCTGAGGAGCCATCATGCTGCTGTCAGATTATTGAGCACGAAACTACTTCGTAATAGTCAGGACACTAGTCTCATTATGTTCTAGCCGACCGTTTTTTCGCCAGGGTAGCTTTCCCTTGAGAACTCGACAGATCCAGTTTCAAATGTGATGTATCCATCCGCGCTGCTGCTCGTATTTCTTCTTCAAGAGGGAGACAAAGGAGATCGAACAGGATCTGGCCTCGAATCTGGGCCGATCGCTATGATTCGTTTCCTCCCCATCTCTGCCTTTACAGCGCGGGGAGGGGGGCCCTGGACGATGCATGCATTATCGTGTCATAGCTTGTGTCTGTGCGTTTTGACGACCCTCTTTTCTTATGGGACAGATTATCACCAACGTCATTTGCATCATTTTACCTAAGCTTGTTACTTACTCAGTTCTGATTGAAACTTCCTATTTTGCAATTAGCAGACCTGAATGATGCAATATCTTTCGTCGACTCTCCATTTCATGGGATTTGACAATTTGTGCCAAATGACTGCGGAGGTATTTCCATACAGCAAGTGCCTTGGTAGACGTGAATAGGCTAATGCACATGTCAGCTACCCCATTCCTCGTCTGCTAGACTGGCCGACCATGCGCACGGTGTACTTGCCAGTCCGTGAGGTTTTACCCTCGTAATTTGTGCATCCCACCCCATCCTCGCCCTTCGCCTCCATGGTTGCATTTAGAGAAACCAAACAAAAAGTAAAGCCAACGAAATGCGATGTAGGGCGAGATTTCCATTAAAAGCCCCGTGAAACACGACCGCGTCACGTCTGCCCCATATCTATATCCCGGGCCAATATCCCCAGACCAATATTCTCCGGGTTGGTCTTCCTTGCTTCAACTCCCAGGGAGACAGGAAGCTTTAAACTTACCGGGAACACTTTCCGATCCCGATAGAAGTTAACGCTCCCACGCACAAGTCGTCCGTGCGATAATCCATCCACCTTTCATAACATGATGCATTCGACTTGCGATCCATGACTGTCGACACTCATCCGTCTATCCTCGAAGGGCCCTGCACCATCGAACGAATGATCATCCTCGACCCGGGATATGGATGATGCATCATGTCCAATCCTGCTACCACGAATGCCGCTGGGACTTGGGTGACTGGATGAGCGTTGCGATGATCCTAGTTTCAGCTGTCCCGAACTGCTGTCCGTCCCGTACTGGAATACGAGGACAGCTGTGCTTTCCAAGGTCGCACCGATCTGCTTGTCGGGAGATTTTTTTCTTTTCATGTTTCACGGCCAGCAAACCATCCTCCCACTCGGCGTCGGTGCCGCCAGCCGTTGCTTTTCCGGAAGGCATCTGTGCCGGGAGAAGATGATCGGGTCGATGTCTGCATAAAGTCGTCTTGAAGGAGAGGCTCGAAGAAGGCCAAGCACGCACAAGCCCAGAGACACGGAATTTTTTAGTCGTGAGGCTCTTGATAGAGGCTTTTTTCTTTCCCAGGGTAAGATACCACAGCCCGCTCAAATAAGTAGATTGGTCGTGAGGCCTCACTGGCAGATCTTTCTGTACTGATATTGCGCCGAATGTTGGAAGCCTACCACGATTCTCCTAAAAATTCACACATAGGAGCAGATAATTAATTGAGAGCACAGCACAGTCAGTGACCACCTTGGACTGTTCCACATGATGATGGCCTTGACTTAACTGACCCAGTGTGTCAAATGCTGCTATAGTTTCCCATTCCTGTTCAGAGGCTGGACAGAAAACAGAAACGAGGAGCAGAGAATGATTGTGACAACATATAGCAAGAATAGCGTGCCGAACAAGAATACTAGAACTTAATCGAGTTGATGAAGTTGCGATTCATAATTAATGTCATTGATGGATTTAGATGTGTTGATCCCAATTGGGAAGACCTATTAGTGATGGCGCACGTGCGGCCGCGTCTTCTCCGCGTCGCCGCCACGGAACCACAGCGATCAACAAGTTGATGGCGGGCAGCCTCGACTTCTGCTTCACCCGGTTTGCTCACGCCTATGGATCTTTTGTCAGTCCTCCCGGACTTCCCAACCAAACGGTACTCCCATATCCTCCCTCCTTTGGAGCGGAACCACATCACCACTGTCGATCTCATAACCCTCGACACCCTCGAGATTGCCAAACGCGCCCACGTCCCCGCAGCCGACGTCCGCCGATTGTCCACTCAGGTCATCCGTGCGCTTCATCACGATGTCGGATTCGAAGAGATCAGAGGCCCCGACGCGGAAGAGCCAGACTCCAGCCTCAGTGAGGATCTCCCTGTCGCCCCAGGCCCAGCCAGCACGCTAGATCTGTCGCAATGGACTGCGATCAGCACGCTCGACCCCACCTTAGACGCACTGCTCGATGGAGGGATACCGACTCGCTACGTGACCGAAGTGACGGGTGAGAGGTGCGTGTGTTGGCTTGTCCCACTCCGGCATACGCGCATTCACAAGGCATGAACGGACTAACGCGGATTGTAGTGGAAGTGGCAAGACGCAGTTCCTCCTCACTCTCCTTCTGACCGTCCAGCTGCCTGCGCCTCGGGGCCTGGCGAAGAATGCTATCTACATCTCGACCGAAGCTCCTCTATCGACGCTGCGACTGTCTCAGCTCATCGCATGCCACCCCTACCTCTCCGGGATCACCAAAGACCAAGCCCCCTCCCTCGAAAGGGTCCTGTCCATCAACGCGATGGACCTCGAGAGCCAAGATCACATCCTCAACTACCAACTCCCCGTCGCGATCAAGCGCTACAACGTGGGACTGGTGGTCATCGACTCCATCACCTCCAACTACAGAGCTGAGCACTCCTCCCACAACCTATCAGGGCTCTCCGCCCGGTCCGGCGAACTCGCCAAACTGGGTCAATTGCTGCGCAACCTCGCCATGGCCGAGGACATAGCGATTGTCGTCGCCAACCAAGTCTCGGATCGCATTGACAGCGACACACCATCGAATCTCTTCCGTCCCGGTGGTGCTACCGCATACTCATCTTCACCTTCTACTCAACAGCCACAGCAACAACGAATACCGCGAACCGAACCTGGGCCAGCTGGGGGAGCACTATCACCCCTTCTCCGCAATTCCCGGGCTGCCGAAACCAGCAACGTAGACCTCACTCCCATGAATCACCACTACAGCAGCATGATCCTCGCACCGTCTTCTCAGCCTCCATTCTCCTCCTCACCGTTCCCCCTCGCAGATGACGATCCTCTACAGCAACAGCAGCAACAGTTCGATGGCTCGTACCTCATCGGGAACCCTGTCCGCAACGAGATCCTGAGTCTCGTGCACCAGCAACGCTTCTTCACGGGATGGGGCGACACCCCGCAGTCTTTGTTTCCGGGCTATGACCCGGGGCTGTGGAGGTCGACCTCCAAAACTCCAACGCTGGGGCTGGTGTGGTCGACGCAAATCGCATGTCGGATCGCCTTGAAGAAGGAGACTCGCGCATTAGGAGTTTTTGACTTCGAGGGCGCCTACGATGATGAGGAGCTGTCTGGTTATCGGGATGCCTCGCAGGCAATCGAAGCCTTTGGTCAGATTATTGGACCCATCAACACCAAGAGTGAGCACGAAGGAGCATTGTTGGATACCACCACCACCACCACCACAGCAACAACAACAACAACAACAACAGGCACAAGCCAGGATGAAGAACATGAGGCGGAAATCGCCAATTCCGACTCCGACACCAAAGCTCTCGAGCCATCAGACGATGCAGCATTGAAGGATGAGCAACCAGCAACCGCAGTCCCCAATCCAGCTCCATCCTCCGCTTCCCACCAACCGAACACCCCACCAGACACACAACCACCGAAATCTCCATCAACCGCCCCAAACCCTCAAGCCCCAGCTACACCATCTCCAGCCGACCTGAATCCTCCAACAATCTACCACCACCTCCCCTCAACGCAACGCAAAAACCCGCAAACCGTCCGTCGAACCTTCAAGGTAGTCTTCGCCCCTTGGACCGGCGGAGGAGGGCGAGGAGACATCCACAACCCGAGAGACGACCAAGAACCCCAGCCTCAACAACCATCCACCCAAGAAGAAGTCGAATTCGAGATCTGGAAAGGGGGTATCCGAGGCTGGTCTCCATCTTCATGAGCCCAACATCGGACCGAACCGGCAGCATCACACCTGTATATAGGCCCCTCCTGTTCTGAAGAATAACCTCACATATACCAACTGTTTATATCCCACAGAAGCATGATCCAACGCGATAAACCCTACCCATTGAGCATCCACACATATTCATTGCATATCCCCCATCCAAAGAACCATCACCATGGAACAATAACCCCCAACCCCAATCAATAAGCAGACTTAGCCTCCCAAAAAAATCTCGGAAGTAGACTGTATATACACACTCAGGGACCGCATGCCTCATGCCAGACCTCATTTAGGACTAGTGCCACAACGCAACCCACCCCTCACCCCCCAAACTATCCGGCACGGGCGGAAGCCCGCGGACGGGGGATGGGGAAAACGGTTATTTTTATTTTTAAAGGAATAAAGGATTTTGTTCGAAATCCAATAATAAGACCCCCTTCACCCCTCCCTCAGCTTTCTTTCTTGCGGACCCCCTTCCCCCCCCCCCCCCCCCCCCTCCCCCCCCCCCCCGCGACCCAGACTTTTGGTTCACCATCGATGCTTTTGCCCCGCTGAGATGGACGGCTCTGGATCAGGAATCTTCAAGGTCGTGCCGGTCTAGAATGCCAGGCCATGCCATGCCAACCCAACAAAACTTGATCAGGTCTCCACTCTACCTACTGAGTGACGAAGCTCTACTCAAAATTGCTGGTTTGGTCATTGCCATGTTATATGGCGACGGCGGATGCCATTGTACAACCTGGAGCTCGGAGCTGATCACGATGTACGAGGGGTAACAGAACGGATAAATATGCTAAACATTGAACGATGCAGACATTATTCTATTGAGCTCAGAAATCATACACGAGATGATGGGTGATGAGGACATCTCGAAGGGAATCAAAGTAAGGAAATGGCTCCCAAGATATTAATGGCCAGCTGAGAAAGAATGGGTGTTTTGCTTTTGTGTTTTTCTTTTACAACAATCCAACAATCACAATTAACCCAACCCCGCCTGCTCCCACTTCCACTCCATATACGCCTTCAGCGCTCGAATGCCGATCAATCAACTCGCAGCAGATACTCTATGACGAGTGCTGAGCATATCGTGGCCAATTCGATCCTGCGAGAGCACCACGGAAAAAAAAATTGAACAAGACAGAAATGACACAATCCTCCCTAATCTGGAGAATTGAGGGAATGAAAACGACGCGCGTTCTATGTGTCGACCGAGAACAGATCTATTGGGCAACCTTGGCGGGGGGAACACCAATGCCGTTGGTGTTACGGTAGAACATGACACCGGCACTCTCGCCCTCGGCGCCCTCGGTGGGCTCAACCCACTGGCAGATACGGGAGCTGGTCCAGAGGGCCTTGAAGAAACCAGTCCATCCGGTGTGGGCCTCGGTACGGTAGTGGTTACCCATGACCTTCTGGATGGCCTCGCTAGCCTCATCGGCGTTGTAGAAGGGGATCGTGCTGACATAGTGGTGGAGAACGTGGGTCTCGATGATGCCGTGGAAGATGTGACGGCCGACGAAGCCGAAGTCACGGTCGATAGTGGCGCCAGCACCACGGACAAAGTTCCAGACATCGGGGTGGTAGTGGGGGAGAGTGGGATCAGTGTGCTGGAGGTAGGTAATGGCAACTAGGGATTGAGATTAGCCGTCATCTAACCAAGAAAAACAGGGAAGCGAAAACTTACCGAGCCAGTGGTTCACCCAGAGGTAGGGAATGCCGTACCAAACCAGAAGGTTCATCCAGCCAAACTTGGAGCCAACCAGGTACAAAACGGTTCCGGTGATAGCAAGACCGAGGTCACTCAGGAAGATGAGCTTAGCGTCCTTGGCCTCGTACAGGGGGCTGGAGGGGTTGAAGTGGTTGACCCCACCGAAGTAACCGTTCTTCTTGCCCTTGCCGCGACCCTCGGGCTGGCGCTCATGGTTGTTGTGGCCGGTAACGTTGGTGAGGAGGTACATCGGCCATCCAAACAGCTGCTGGAGGACCAGGTTGAGAGCAGTCAGGATGGGGGTCTCCTCCATCAGCTCATTCAGCTCGTGGATGGCTCTGCCGACGCGAGTAGCAAACTCCGAGCGGGTCTTCGGGACGAAGACCATGTCGCGGGCAAGGTTACCAGTAGCCTTGTGGTGCTTTCCGTGGGAGATCTTCCAGGAGAAGTAAGGCACCAGGAGAGCAGAGTGCAAGACCCAGCCAACGGTGTCGTTCAGAACCTTGGACGGGGAGAGAGCCTGGTGTCCACACTCGTGAGCCAGAACCCAGACACCGGTTCCGAGCAGACCCTGCACGACGGTGTAAAGGGCCCATAAAGCGGTACGGATGGGCGTGGAGGGGATGTTCTCCGGGGTCACATAGTTGTGGAAGACATAGAAGACGGTGGCCAAGCAGAACAAGTCGCGGGCGACATAGGACAGACTGGTCAAGGCCTTGCGCTCATAGCAGTGGGCGGGGATGGCATCACGGAGCTGCTTGATGGTGAAATCCGGGATCTTGAACTCATTGCCATAGGTATCCAGCATCTTGCTGCGAGCCTCCGCCTCGGAGGCCAGCGAGGACAGAGAGGTGGTCGAAGGAGACTGGCGAGGGCTGTCCATCGGAGAAGGAGCGATGGAGCTGGCCACCGAAGAGTCGGTGGTGGGGTTGCGGTGCAGCGCAACGCGCTTGGGGAGAGCCGTGGAGGACATGTTGACTTTTCGGTCCTGTGGTGAATCTGCAAGCTCTAGACAAGACTTCAACAGGACGTTAGCAAACCCAGCTATCCGATACGTGGTGACCTTATCGCATTCCTGAGAACAGGCCACCAAGGGATTCATGTCTCTAACTCACCAATTGATCAAAGCAATGCTCGGAGGAGATCAGAGCCGAGATGCACTGGATGGAAGGGGTTCCCACACAACGAAAAGCGACCAGGTCGGGGGATTGACAGCAAGGCAGGGGACAGTGAGAGGGATCTGACTGACCACCTCAGGAAAGCCTTTCGTCGACTTAGGGGGGAGGAGGGACAGGATGAGGAGAAGAGGAGCGTGAGGAGGGAAAGAAGAACGACAGGAGGAAGAAGGCGAGAGAGAGGAAGAAGAATAAGACGTGATAATAAGGTGTTCAACACAGAACCCGGGGGAGGGAGGAGGGGAGCGCGGCGAACCAGGGAGGGAGAAAAAAAAAAAACAATCGGAAGGGAAGAAGGCAAAAAAGGGTAATTTGCAAAAGGAAGACAGAAAAAAAAAAAGGAAGGTAAGGAAAGGGAGGCAAGAGATAACAATCTTTTTTTAAAGTGAGAGAATAATAATCTGACTTCTTTGTACCAACATCCAGCATCCAGCATCCAGAACGAACCTTGAACCGAACCGAACAGAACAATCGCCGCCCCCTGGCCCTTGTAACACTTTGGTACGGGGGATCTCCCGCTCGAAATTTTTGCATCAGTTGGGACAACCGGTATTGGTCAGATCGGTTGGGAGTCCACCTTGCCCGTTACCACTGCTGGTATTTTGCAATCTCTCGCTCTATCGCCAAATTTGCCTCGCATTGCTCCGTGCACTTTCAACTTGCCATGCATGGCGGCCATCTTGGCCCCATTGTTATCGTCCGAGACGGCACATTGGACTGCTAGCTACTTGGCTCTGTTTTGTGCTGTGGATGCCCCCTCTGGCACTCACAAATTCACAAGGATTTGCTGAAAGTCGATCTTGACAATCTTGTTTGTGCACGAATGCCGAGGCTGGAGCTGAGCCTATCATTCTGGCTGTGTCGGCTGAATCTAGGTTCAAGGGTGCATGCTTAGATGCATGGAGATGCATGGTCTGCTGGGATGAACACGCCGCGCCTCACAGTCTTAAATTCTCTGATGACCACAGCCTGAGCCTACTGCTACTTACTGTATGGAGTACCTACAATCCGCCGAGGTGGTTGATGAGACAGAGCTCTCGCCACCTCGGGTCCGATAAGGCTGAGTAGAGAGATGAAGTCTGACTAATGGTCGTACGACTGGCGGTGGCTGAAGCTGTCCTGAAAAGGGTTTCTCCATTCTCGCCTCTGCAGGTCTTTTGTTTACCGTTCACTGTTCACCGCAAACCCCATGCAGTCGCCGTGTGATGTGGAGGGGAGGGGAGATGCGAATGAGATGATGGGGTTGGGGGTTCACCACTGATCGAGGATTTTTCCATGTGGCCGGCCGGCATCTGCAGAGTTGCAAAAATACCACTGATGGTTCGCTGCGTTACTTTCTAGTTACCAGGGACCGAGAACCGGGGAGGGAGTGGACTCTTCACCGCCCCACTGGGTCCAATGAAAATCATGCTGCAGAACTTTGGCTTCTCAACAATCTTGGCGCCGTCTCTTTTTTGTCTTCTCTTTTTTCTTTTTTTGTTGTTCAGCTTCAGCAAAGAAAACAAAGCAAGCACCCGCCACCACTAGCTGAAAGGCCATTGAGTCCTTGAGTGGTATCGCCATCCGTCTGATTCGTCTTCATGATCCGAGCTTTTTTTTTTTTTTTTTTGTCATGTTTGTCATCTTGAAACAGACACCTGAATAAAGGGGGAAGGGGAGGGGGGAGAAACAATCAACCGGAGATGAATCGGTTGGAGGCTTATCAAACTTATCAGGCCTGGCCTCTTTGATCGTATCCCCTCAACAAGGAGCCCCATTATTTCACATGCCACTCGGAAAACCCATCCCGACTTTTCCCTGTCTGGGTGATTGGCATTGGATGCCAGTGGCCATCTTCACCATGCCATGATCATCACTCTCACTCACCACCAATCTCATCTCAGCACGACTCATACCCAGCTCAAATCACGAGTAACTCAGATCAACTCAGCTTACCCTGTAGTCTCGGCTACTTCTTGTTTGAAGAGAGAAAACCCAACCACCTCGCATTCTACTCACTGCTCATACCCATACTTCCAGTATGTCCGAAGTAATGCGAGGGCACAAACATTGCCCACCGGGCCAGCAAAGGACACACACACAGTGTGACGAACTACGGAGTCAATCTGAAAGTGGTCAGCCAGCTACTCCCCAAGTGGATCACTTCGCGCTTCCATTTGGCTTCCACCACTGTCAGCGAGGAGCCTGCCTGATCTCCAAGGGCTCTGATTGGTCCCTCCGAGGAGAAGATTGCCGCTCCTGAGTCGAGCTCCCGAGTCCTCACTCAGCTGCATCTTGCCACCGTCGCTGCAAACGCTTTCACCTGCTGTGTACGCTGTAAAGTGTACAGTGTACAGTACAACAACTTACAAGGAATACAGTTAAGAAAAGCAGCACATGTGATAAGAGCCGAGGGAGCCGCATACTACAGTGTTGTGTTCCACATGATGAGATCAATGCTGAATGCCCGCAACATCCCCTCCCCAGCGACTCTAATGAAGTATATGTAAACTACGCACCAAGATCATCAGATCCCCAAATCCCCCAATAAATCCCATGGAGTTATGTATGAGCCGAAATGACCTGAGTCCGGAACTCGTCTATACCGAACACCCAATTCACTACAGTAGTCATGTGTCAACGGTGCTCGAGCTCCGTACCGAGTAAGTGTGCCAGCAAAAAAAAAGAGAAAGAAAAAGAAAAATCCCTGCATGTCAAAAACTTCCGTTGGGGCACCCCATCGATTTTGTTGAGATGCTCCAGAAGGCTCCGTCCCTTCCCCTGGTGGGGCTTTTCTGCCCGGGAGGTGGTTGGATCGGGTGGGAGCAGAGAAAAAAAGACAAAACGAACGAATCACACCCGAAGAATGAGCGGGCTTGTCATTCGATTGCGTGGTGCTGATTTGATGGGGAAAGAGGGGCTGCGCGCGCCGGCGGCGGCGCTTCTCGGGGGTGCTAAACTGTATTTTTTTAGTCTATTCATTGGCGTGGTTCAAGTTGTTTTTTTGTCAGTGTGGTAATTTTGGGGGGCATATACCTGAATTTGGAATTTCTGGTTTTCGCCTTGTTGCGAAATTTGCAAAAACTTGAGTGGTTGCGCCGAGTAGTATGCTGCTGATATCTACTGAGTACTCCGTACCTATTCTACGCTGAAAGGGCGGTTATGTCTTTTGAATATATGTATGAATATATCTCTATATCTTTGTACAGATGAAACATAGGGCCAGGACCCCCTTTTTCAAACATCCTCTGCAAGTCTATGTACTCGTACTTTTCGTAGATTGATGGAGTCGCTCGGAATCGACCAACCATGCTCCGCCATGGCTGCCGCCCGATAGGGAAAGGCTCACCGTCGTCGTCCGCAGATCGGGTAAGACCAACACCGTCTCCCCGTGGTTACGGTAATCTATCTCACAAGGAATGGGTCGTCGTTGTAGCTGGCTCGTGGCTGGCGCGGGATCTGCTGCTGCTACTGCTGCTGCCGCTGCCGCCGCCCCTCCGGTCGAGGGCTGCGGCTTGAGGGTAGTGGGTGGCGGCGGGGCTCCCGACGATGAGGGCGACGGTGGTACAAAGCTTCTAATCTCTAGCCCGGGGAGGAGAAGGTGACCAGCCTTCTGGGGTAGGAGCATGATCGCAAATGTCTTAGTCTCCCCCTCATCGGCGGTAAAGTTTCCGCGACGTCGACCGCCGATCAACCACGAGTCGGGGTTGGCATGAAGCTCATATGTAAATTCGAGCGAAACATCGGCCTGCTCACGTTGTTCAGCTGAGCACCAGCGCCGAGTGTGATGGATAGTGAGTTCGGCGGCGATCATTTGGCCAACTGCGGCGTGTCGATGTTGGTCCGTCAGGTTAGTGAGGCGAAGCTCGGCTGTATGGACAACTGGGATCTCAGGAATATCGACCGGAATGACAATGTGCCTCTTAAGCACGGTGGGCGATGCTGGGAGACAAATCACCGGGTGGTTCTGTGTGTGTATATGTGTCAGTATACTTGAGTGCGAGGGAAGCACAGCCAATGCGCTGGCTACTTCTCACCTTGTGCCAATCCTTGAGCCACGTTTTCAGTCCGTCCAGTGGCTCCTTCAGAGCGCCCAGTAAACCTTCCCATCGAGCATTCGCATACCCCAACGTTTCCACCTCACGCACCAGGCCAACAATCTCCATGTCGGAGGTTGACAGTTGGGTGCGGAATGCATCAACAATATGCGACGTAAGTAACGTGCTGTATGGGTGGAACTCACTAGCCATGATGCTAGAGTAGAATGTCTTTTCCACGGCATCCATGCACTCATCATCCACGCACGTGAAATCAACACTCAGCCGGAGTGAGCGTCTGGAACCAGGGGAGGAGACATTTTCCTGCTTCCGTCGGATTTTGTATATTAGAGAGGCGGGCTGCTTGGGAAATACATCTAGCGCCACAGAGTCGCCAATGCTTGATTGCACCTCGTAGGCATTCGAACTAGGGATGCTGCATCTCAAGATTCGAAGAGGGATCATCAGGGCCGGGCTGATTGTAAACCGGGAAAAGAGCACGTCGTTCTTGAAAATATCCTGCACGTTGACGCTAATTGGCAAACCTGAATTAATGTTGTGAATGGAAGAATATGAAAACGACCCACTGCCCGTTTCATAGGTCGCCTCTGCCCTTGCGGACAAGATCGGATGATGCTCCTCCACTGTGTAAGGGATCCGGAGTCGAACAAATGATTTTGGCTTCAGTTCGTTGAACTCAATGGTGCCTAAATCGCTGTTGGCCTTGATTTGAATCTCGCCTTCGACCAACTCCGCCTCCGAGATTCTCAGTCGCAGACCAGCAGTGGCTGGCCTTACACGCAGGGTGCCTGTCCTGATATCGTTCCATCCGCTGTTGAGTTCCAGCTCCAGCGTCCGCATTTCTTGCAGGTTGACAAGATGCGGGGAAACGATCCTTGCCTGCAGGCCGTCCGGTGGAGGAAAGCAATAAATGTATGGGCGGCTGTCTTCCTCTTCTGCCTCCATTGCCTCTCTGAACCCAATAGGCAGGGATGCATTTCTTCCACCCGCTAATGTAAAGATGAGGTTCCTCACACGTATCTCGATGCGGTCCACAAAGTATTTCCCTTGCAGCGAAATCTTTTCATGGTCAGCATACTGGAATGAGAGCTGGACATGATTAGATTATACTCACCGATGAATCTATAAGCACCTTCGTCGAGGATGACTTGATGGTCATCCCTGTTGGCATCTCTAACCAGTGCTCGTTGCTCTGAGGACCAAGGGCGCTGACTAGCCGCAACTTGAGCGAATTGATTTCAATCCGCTTGCCGAGGAGAAACCTCAAGGCAAGCTGTAACTGAAACCCATCCTTGTCTCCATAATGGATAATGGTCGGCTGGACTTTGAGGTCACCAAAGAAATCGGTCATCGGTGCAAACACTTCTTTATTCAAAGCCCCGGAGGCTCTGAAAAGCTCATCAACATATTCAGAGACCAAGGCATTCTCGGCGAAGATGTGCGAGGCGTCTAGTGTCTTCTGACGGCTTGACAGGTTTGACTCTGTCCAAGCGGCAAACTTGGCGAGAAGGCGCAGAATCGTGCGGACATATTCCTCGCTACGTTCCAGCTCTTTCAGGCAACGTGCGTACATTTC